ACTGTACTCGATGTCTTGCAAAACTTGGTTCCTACAATTGGTGTGGTAAGTTTTCTTGTTCTATCTATTAAATAGCGTGCCTTTTCGTGTATACTGTCAGTATTTGCTTCTTGTCACCTATTGTCTTCTTTTCTGGAAAAATGAAATTAAAGTTTCTTTGATTGACGCTCGTATCACATATGTGATATGTACTCCTTGTGACTTCTACACTTACCGATCCACCAAATAGGGTGAATATTTCTTGTCTTTAATTTTAAAGGGATGGATTAATACGTTTGCTGGCTACGAGGTCAATAATGGATGTGTTAATCTTATATGCTCTTCATTTTTGTCATCTTTTCATCTAAAGTTACTTTTCCTTGAAAGCAATAGTAGTGGCAACTGGAACCACGTTTTACCAATTTGTGGTCGTTTTATGACCGCTGGATGTGTATAGTGTTGCATTGCATGTCTGTCATGATGATCAGCTTACCTTGTTTTTATCCGTCGTTTTTATCTCATCTCATGCTTTATACTCTTCATCTAGGTGTTTACTAATCCATTCGTTTATTGGCGATTACTATGTTCGTTCATACCACTTGGCCATCAAATATCCTGCTTAGTTGCCCTGTGTAATGCCGCCTCCTTCTGTGTTGCTGGTCGCAAATCACTACTTACCCCTCATAGTTGCATCAACCGTGATCAAAAAATCGTCCACTCCGCTGCAAAGGAGCGGTTGCTTCCCTCTCCACTCCCGTTATGATATTTCCCGAACTGGTAAACTACCACTTTCTCTTGATCTTACAACATATTGACAGAGCCAACTATGGGCAAGAATTTTCGGACTCTGGAACTAATAGTGCTACATGTAATGCTGATCTCTCTTTAAAAATTATATTTTGGTAACTTCTCCCCAAACATTTCAAAATAGTGGGCTTCAGCAACCTATTTCGATCGTCTTATGCTGAGGTGGTTGGATGTGGGATTTCGGATAGTAAAACGTTTTTTTTATTATTTCTTTGCTAAAAATTACATGATACGAATAGGCAACTGTGGATCTAACTCCTCAATTTTTCGAGGCACACTTGCTCTTGCTAGTGTGTCGACATATTGGAACATTTTTCTTCCAACTTGATGTCTCTATTTATCTCTCCATCCCCCATTGCTGAAATCCTGATTTGAATCGTCAATTAGCGCTTCAATCCTTTTCATCCGTCTTTGCTTAGCCCAGCGTTATTAATCGTTGTTTTCAACACGATTCGCTTTTACTTGATTTGAGTATTTCATTTCTAATGGGGATTCAGGTGGTCTGCCAGAAAGGTCTGTTTGTGATTATCACTGAAGTAATAAAGTTTGTGTGTTTGTGTCTGTAGACGTAGATCCTCTTGAGTTTCTCTACTGAGTAAACAGGAGAGGCAGACTTCAATAAATTCCCTCTCATTTCCCAACGAATGTGAAAATGGCGTAAACGTGTACGACTTTCAGTTGACTGCCAAACGCACGGGGTGACTCCGTTTTCTCTTACCAATGGCACTTTTTGAATGGGACGCAGGTACTACCTGTGAGCAGTCTAAAATGCATGGAAAGCAACCGAGAAAAGGGAAGTGGCAGATATCTCCAATAGTTCTCATTCACTAATTATTCGCATGCGTTTTTTTGTCGATTGGCCACTAGGTATGTTCTTTAAAGACTCAATGAAGCCTGCTTTTATAGAAGCGAACCCACTTTTAGTGCATTGAAGGGTTGTCTAAATATTGATGATGAGGGATGTCTAATGTGAGAATTTGTTGAGAATGAAGAGGCTGTTCGGTGTCTTACATCATCGTTCTCCAACCTCAGTCCTAGAGTTGTACAATGATGGCCAGTCGTGAATCATCAAAGAACTTGTTTTCATTGAGAGACCTCTAATTTTCTTTATCAG